TGTCGACTTTTGTTCTATGTGCCATTTCTTGAATTAAAAAAAACACACACACACACAACATGTACAATTAAACAGAATATAAAAAGGGTTATACTTAAATTATCACTATTTCATACTTTAAATATTTTTTCTCAAGTTTGTTCAGGGCTAGTGGTTAAAGGGTCAGGGCTAGTAAAAAAAATTGTCTGAGTAGCGCGATTGGTCTAGTGTAACAGTTTCCAAAGCTTAATGTCACACCCTGAGTCAAGCAATTTTTTTAATAGTAGATAGACGGCTTTGTGAAAATGGTACATGTGCGCTACTATTTTGGTTGGGTTAATCTCATTTTTTCCGCAATCACTTTTTTCTGTTACATTTCATTTGATTTCTTAATATCTTGACTGTACGCCAGTAAATAAATTGAAATTGAATTATTCAGATGTTGTCCATTTTTTTATGCAAATGGCAAAGAAAGTACCTGCATTCAAAAAACGTGAAATTTGAAAAAAGAAATTGTCCTTTTTAGGCGGAAGCGCATTAGCCAACATCGGAACCATTATTTCGTCTTTTATTCCGTCGCGGTTTTAATATTTAGTGTGTCTAACGAGATCTCGTTTTTGGCGTGAACTTGGGCAACATTTTGTAAACAAGGACGCGCTGCTGAACTTGTCATGTCTTATGATGTCAAATAACCGCGTCTTACCTGCAAATAACCATGGTAAATTACCATTGTATTGCCGTGGGATGTAACAATGACTCCAGGAAATCTAGCAGACTCAGTAAATACCCGCATATGGTAGATCAAAATGGAAATGTTGTCAATTTTTATGTATTGCCTTCCGCAACTAAAAATCCAAAACTTCGGCGCCAGTGGATAAATGCGGTACGTCGTAAAAATTTCAAACCAAGTAACACAGATCATTGGCACGCAGTATGCTCCAGGCATTTTGTAGATGGAAGACCCACTGACACAAACCCAATACCAACTTTATTTGAATATAATAACTACATGCATGACCAGGCCCAGGGTCAAGGAAAGAGGAAAACATTGACTTCAAAATACAACAGTACTTCATCTCCCCAGGGGTTTGTATTTTGGCTTCTCGATCAATGATAATTTTACATAAAAATGTGATACCCATATTTCTATTATCAGCTTTTAAGGCCAAAAGAAAATATATTCTTGTTTCCTGTTCCCTGATAAAAAATAAATAGGATTAAATTAAAAAAAATAGGGTAGCTAGGTAGGGAAAAAATTATTTTCAAAGCTCAATGGATGGAGAATATGTATTATCAAATAACAAGAAAACAGTATGTTTACACTTTACAGAGCAAGTTTATTAATAAAGATTTATAAAATAAAGGTATCCTTTGCACTTAAGATGTATTAGCTCTGTTAATATTGTTGGTTGACTTTAGTATTTCAGGAAAATAGCCCCCCTCCCCCCCAAATGAATATGTAAAAAAAAAAAATTAGGGTTGCAGGGTAAAATGTTATGGTAGCTCAGTGACAGGAAACAAGAGTACATATAAATTTTTTGCCTAAAGAATATATTCAATATAATTTACATGAATTATCAATATCTAAATTTCATTTAGAAAGATACACACAAAAATATCTTTTTTATATTGTATGAATTATGTTATAATAACAACTGTGCCTCTAAAACTGTTAATCAACCATTTTACATGCAGAAATGAAAGTCACTCTGAAGGAAAAAAACAAAGGACTTCACAGACTAGTGTATTTGTCCAGCCAGTACCAGTGGCAGAGCTATATCAAGGCATACAGCATGAAATCATTATTCCTGCCAAGGAAGGAGGAAAGGGTTGGAAGACATAGTTTTCTTAAAAATAACTAAAAACATAACACTTCTTTGATTTTGTTTAAAAAGTTTGTCATTTATCTGTGATTTTTTATTCTATCATCAGAAATGTCTGGATTAAAGAAACTTGCATAATCAATGATAACAAATATACCCATAAAGATCATAACCAGTATATTTTCATATGCATAAAAATATGCTTTTTTTATATTTGTATTTTTCTTTCACAGTTCCAATTACAACTGATACACCATATTCCCTACCTGGTATCATGCAACATGACCACCCATATGTAGTGAGTCCTGTGTCAGGTTCATCTCATCTTAGTGACACAGACTGGGCAGATGCTGACACCCAAATAACAAATTTGGAACATGAAAATAGGCATCTGAAGGTATTTTTACAGCAGAGCAATTGTTTTTTTTTTTCATTATTTCATATGTTATGTCCAGGGTTCGACACTAACGGTAGACCGGCGGCCCGAGTCCACCAAATTTTTGGAAGGTCCACCAATGCACAGGACCCAGGTGGACCGTCGGTCCACTTAAATTTTAAGCTTTAATAATAAAAATTACATTAATAATGACAATTGTTCCCTGTTTGTTTTCAATCTCGATGTAATTGACAACCGGAAATAAGTATTTTACTCTAAGTAACTCATACTTGTATGAAGCGAAATAATTTTCGTACGACTTGTTGAAAAATGTATTACCGGATGTTGAACTTAAAATAACAAAATGCTACGAAATTGGTTGGGAGTTCAATCTCCCCCCAAGAAAAAAAGCAAAATAACCGAAGAAAAAAAAAAAAGAAGTGCAGCAAAAGTACGAGGCTGAAAAAAGATGCCGCTCATTCCAAAAGGCATGGCAGTCCACGTTCCCATGGTTAGTGCATGATCCAGACAAAGATATTATGACATGCAATGTGTGCACAAAATATCAAACTGGGACGCCTGGAAGTTTTATAACAGGTACCAAAAATTTTAAGATTGATGTCATTAAAAAACACGAACTGTCGGACGTGCATACCAGAAGCCTTGCAAGGGAACATGCCTCGAAGGAACCCTTAGCAGAATCAACGGCTTCCAAAGCCCTTGTGATGATAAACAAGGCTGCTGTGGAGAAGTTAACATTTTTATTCAGATATGCACACTGTATTGCGAAATCAGGAAGACCATACACTGACTATGTAACACTCTGCATGTTAGATAAAGCAAAAGGTTTGCAAATTGGCAATACTTATCTAACCGATAAGTATTGCCAGCAGTTTGTGTCATTTATAGCTGATGTACATAGAGATCTACAGAAAGAGAAAGTTGAACATGCTTCATTCCTTTCAATTATATCGGATGGATCTACTGATACCTCTTCTAAGGAAACCGAAATCGTATATATTAAAGCATCTGTGAACTGTGAGGTATGTCATAATGATATATTATATATATATATATACTAAGAATATATGAAAAAATATCTTTATATATAATAAATAAAAGTATACTATCTTCAGGTGTTCACATACTTTGCTGGACTAAAACATGTTAGCAAAGCTGACGCCGAGGGGATTTCAAGAGCCATTTCAGGCTTATTGGATACAAGATTTGGACCCATTTGGCGTTCCAAGGTGGTCGCCATGGGCACCGACGGAGCTTCGGTTATGGTGGGTAAAAAAGGGGGCGTTGTCAAGATGATCAGCGACATGACGAACAGGCCTTTTCTTAAGGGGATACACTGCTCAGCACACAGGTGATTTCTACAAATCTTATGTTTTTACTCATTAACATTGACATAATGATATGAATGTAAATTCTTTAGTTATAATATCCAAATTAAAATGCTATGCTGCCTAATTTTTTCAGGTTTGAATTGGCGTACAAAGATGGCACCAAAGATATTCCAATACATAAGAAGTGTGAACTCCTTCTTCTAAATTTATATCTGTTCTACAAGTAAGTACAAGGTTTTTTTTAGATTAGTTTTAGAAAGTAGTCCACATTAAACAATTATTATATGAGGGAGATGAAATTAAATAAACTAATGGATTTATTTTTTTGCATTTAGATACAGTTCACTGAACAGAGCAAATCTTAAGATAGCATTTGATTCCATTGCGAAAAAAATGTTGGTCCCAACCCGTGTAGGTGGAACAAGGTGGTTACCCCATACTGAGAGGGCTTTGAAGCATGTGATCACTGGCTATGATGGCATTGTGCTTCATCTGGAACAGGTACACAGCGTTTTTGAAGATTCAAGTTTGTTATGTTGACATTACATATATACATGCAGTGTGTAGTCAATGAACATGTGTAATTTTTATTTTAATTTGATTTGAATATTACTTGGAGATATTTTTTTTAATGTGATGTTCACAATCATTATATACCCTATCTAAATTAGATGCAACAGAATCCATCCAAAGAATCCAGTGCCAAAGCAAGAAACTTTTTGAAACTTCTGAAGGATAAGAGTGTGATTTTGTGGTTACACTTTATGATGGATGTGGTCAAAAGCCTCAGCTCTGTCTCTCTGAAGATTCAGGATCAACAGAGTACTATTGCTGATATCTACTGTGAATTAGGCAGCGCAAAAGCAATTTTGGATAAGTTTAAGAGAAGGTATAAATCATCATGGGTTTAATGTGTATTGCACTTACATGTACATGTAGGTGAAAACCTGTCATTTAATCACTCAGCCTGTTACCCACCTAACTTACCTCTGGTTTTGGTTTACTTTTTGTAATGCTTGCAACAGTAATTAATTTAATATTGCATGTACCTTTGCTACTATTCTCTGCTTTTGTAGTATAGTTAGCACTTGCTATAATATGCACCACTCTTTGCTAACCTGCTTTCTTCCTCAAATTAAAAACACAAACAGTAATGGTCCATTCTTGAGATTGGTGGCTGGAGACAGCATGCATATCATTGAAGGGAGAAAAAACAAATTGCTTGACTCATTGATTAGTAGTATCAGTAGTAGATTTGCTGGTGATCTCTGCATGTTTAGTGCCTCATCTATCCTACTTATTCAGAAATGGCCATCAGATTTTACTAATGATCCAGGTAAAACATTATCATGTCATGATTTTTAAGGTTACCTAACAATAAACAAAATTATGTACATTTATTTATCATTCTGACTTGTTAATTTTAAATAAATAAAGACATTTTTTCAAATATTTCTTGAAATAAAGACTTTGGGGATGAAAATTTACAACAACTGATCACATCTACAAGACCAGCACTGGAGGCATGTTGTCCATCAATTGACATTGAGGGAATTGAGCTGGAATGGACACGACTGAAGACATCTCTTATTAAATACAGGTTTGTTATATTTTCAATAGTAAATACATTTTTCTTTGGCAGAAAGATAAACAATTCAAATTATAGTTATTTATTTTCAGGTGTATCTCCAGTTTAACCTGGAAACAACTGTATGCAGATTTTGGGTGTGACTTTCCAAACTTTTTTCACCTAATAGACTACTTGTTGACTCTGCCAGGGTCTTCAGTTGATGCAGAAAGAGGCTTCTCCTGGTAAATTCCAATTTGAATTTGTATAAGCAATTTAAAGGTTTCTTATTGAAGTTTGTTTTTATATAAAAATAAATATAATTGATCATCTTACAGTATGAAACTTGTGAAAAATGATTGGAGATCCAGATTGGGGGAAGCCAATTTGAGTGACCTGATGCTTGTTTCCTTGGAAGTAGAGGAAATTGATCAGTTTGATCCCCTGCCTGCAATTCATTTGTGGTATGCAGGGGGAGAGAGGGCCAGGAGACCTTTCTACAAAGATGAACTTAAGGTTATTTTATAAGTTGCTAATTTGGTTAATATTTGGAATTGTATAACAGCTTATAAGTTAAGCCTTTTGCATGTAAATATTGGCTATATGCATTTATGTTAATCATTCTTTAGAGAAGCTGTATTCCAAGAGAAAAGGTGACAGTTAGTAGAGATGGGGAGATTGAGGAAGTGCAGGAAGCTGTGGAGGAGGAAATGCAGGAGGAAGAGGAGGCAGATGAGATTCATATTTCACCTTCAGAGTGTGATGATGATGATAATGATTATGATGAAGTTGAAGCTACTCTAAGCAGAAAAGACTTAATAGAGCTACAAAAAAAGTCTTATGCTATGTTAATGGAAATGATGATGTGAAATTAATGAAATAAATTCAGTAAAGTAGAAGAAAGTGTGTGTTCAAAGTAATTACATTTAATAAGCCTGATTGAATAGCATGGAATAAATTTATTCAACAAAAAATTGAAACATTAATGAAGGTCCACCAGAATTTGAGAAGGTCCACCAAAAATTCTTGACCAGTGGACCTGCGGTCCACCAAGGTATAAAAGTTAGTGTCAAACCCTGATGTCACATAAATACATGTAAAGGATGTTTGAGCAAATATGTATTCTCTTATATTTTTAATGTTTGTTTAAAAAAATTTTAAAGTGTGCTTAACTTTGTAGGTTCATTGTGAACAACTCGAGGAGAGGATAGTGGCTTTTAAAGAGGAAAACACAATACTGAAAAATCAGTTAAATGAAAGTGAAAGACAAAGAAAGGAAGTGGAATCCAAACTTCAAAACAAAGACAAACTTTTCCGAGAGATTTTAGTAGATAAACTAACGAAGTGTGACAACCATGTACGACTTTTTCTGGGGCTGCCTTCTCTTCTGTTTTTAAAGGGTTTGTTCAACATATTGAATGGCGCAGCTTCCAGTATGAAGTATTGGACTCGTAGATCATCAAGTCATGAAAAAAAGTGGCACTCAGAAAATTTAAGGAGACCTGGGAAACAAAGAAAACTGCAGTTATTTGAAGAATTCATTTTGGCACTACTTCGTCTGCGTTTAGGCCTGAACACCATGTTCTGTTCAGTTTTGTTTGGCGTGTCTCAGTCCACAGTTTCTTCCATATTCACCACATGGATGTGTTTCCTAGATCAGCAATTAAAACCATTACTTAAGTGGCCATCAATGCAAAAAGTAAAAAAGCATATGCCTCTTTCCTTCCGTTTAAAATACCCAAACACAAGAGTCATAATTGATGCAACAGAGATCTTTGTTCAACGTCCGAGGAATCCTTCAGCTCAGAGCAGAACTTGGTCAAATTACAAAAACAAGAACACTTTCAAAGCGCTGGTTGGGATTTCACCAAATGGGGCCTTTACATTCAT